TTCTACAAGACCTATCTGTAAGTACGAGTACATTTTTTCAGATAAAAAAAAATATCAAATTGGTTAATAACTTACAAAGTTATGAGGTAACTAACAGAACTAAAAAATATACAACCAAATTCAGAAGCTTCGTCTCATTAAAGTCGAATTAAACTGATTAATAAATATATCTGAATACGTACTGAATAGCTTTTTTTAAATAGTAACCTTGTTGTAAATGGAGAATGAGGGATGATATGTGAGGATGAAAACAGACCTATTAACCAATTCTGCATGTACAAATAGATAGTATTAGCTCTTGTATGTTAGAGGGAAGTGGCTTACAAGATACAGGTTGCCCTAATTTATAAGCCAGGGCAAAAAAAGTGACAGCGCAACCCTGTCTTTGTTAATTATTAAAAAAAATTATAGGTTTCTATTAAAAAAAAATGTAATGTTTTACGACAAAAATTAACTAGAATAGTTTCCAGAAGGAACCGCGTGTAGCTCGTCGTATTGATAGCAATGGGACTGTCATACCATTAATAATCCCTTTCTCCACTACAGAACAATAATCTCATTTCTTATTTTCATTGTACCCGCATTATGGGTAATTCTTAAAAGAAGGAGTAAAGAGGTTTCTTCAGAGACAGCAACACACGTGTAATGTTTCTGATATAGCAGGTATTTTTATTTATTTATAGGATCACCGACATAAGATACCAAAGGGAGACTTTGTACAAAAATCGATTGCTTGGCTCTGTCCCATTCGTGTTTCAACCGTGAAGCAGTTGTGTTTGCATGGCTGTGTTTCGGTTTGAAGGATGGGATATGACGTGAATTTATTCGGTACAGAGGAATAACACCTGAGTCCTCAGGAATGGCAACGCATGGGGAGTATCATGGGCGAAACAGTATACTGTGTTATGTCCATGGTACTGCTCATGTCTATAGGCGACAGTTACCAGTTTCCATCAGGTGGACCGTCAGCTTGCTTGTCATTCTAAGTTGTATAAAAAAAAACAAATGAAAGTAATGTACGGATGTACGGATGCTAGAATTGGACATGGCGTTCAATTATCCAAACGTACAAGTATGTTGCTCTTTTTAATAGAATCGCAGTTATTCGATAGATTAAGCTTGTTAAGGCTTCGCTGGCCGGATAACGAGGGAAGCGAGTGGTCGATTAACATGGCTCACATAAAATCTTTCTTTTGGGAGATTTAAAAAGCTTACCGCTTGTATGTACATGAATGGATGTTATTCCTTACATACGAGTACATTATAATGAAATGTTTGTTTCTACTGGGATCGAGTGCCTTATCTTCCGATGGTCGCAGGTTCGATTCCCGGATAATACAAACATTTGTATTTATGAGTATGTTTGTTTATAGATAGATAAGTAAACACTTTATTTGAATCAAATATGGCACACGTAAATTCATAGAATAAAATAAGCTATATTGGTCATATTGCTCTGAGTGTTTACCACGCGTATATTAGTTTTCTAATATCTCCACCATCGATCCTTACAAATAAAGACAGATTTTCCAAAACACTTTATAAGTGACGAAGTTCTGAGATAATATAAACATAAAAAATATACAACCGACTTGAGAACCTCCTTCTTTTTTGAAGTCGGTTAAAAATGCAACAATATTATCTAGTTTTTTGACTGCCTAGTTTAACCCTCTTATTTATAAAAACTAAAACCTACAAATCCACTTTAATTATTAACACTGTTTTGTCACTTTCTCCTAAATTGGAAATTTAATGTAAATGAAAGAGATAAAACAGTTCTATAGCTAAAAATAGGTTTCTTATACCACTGAGGTGGCAAATAAACATATGGCTCACCTGATGGTAAGCGGTTACCGTATCCTATGAACGCCTGCAAAACTAGGGGTATTACGCGCGCGTTGAAATGCGTGTTTGACGTTTTTTACGAATAAGAGAATTACTTTTTAACTCCATATATGTTTGAATCCACCAACGGCAGCTGGAAAACCAAAAATTTCGACAATCTGATTTTGTCACTCCGCCGCCCTTCATTAAGTAAAATTTTATTTGAGCAATGAAAAACTCACATTTAATTAGGAAAAAGTTGGGACAGAAGTTTGTGCGGCGCAAGTTTCTTAATAAAAGATGACCTATTTTAGTGTTCCTTTATTAAATTACAAATGTTTCCTCAAGTTTGTTTCCCCTCTTAACATTGGAAAAGTTTAATTCGAAATTAGAGAGCCACTAAAATTTTACGTTAATTATCCATCACTCCGTTGTTCCGTTTGATTATAATTAGACGAAAGATTCAGTTGAAATTATTTATTTATTTAAACTTTAATACACAGTAGATAGATAGATAGATAAATAAATAGTTTATTTGAGCCATTTATGACACACGTAAATTAACAAATGAGTTTATACAATCTTTTTTTTTATATAAAACAAAAGATGAAATATGGAAATATGTTTTCACTAAGTGTGTCGCAGTGACCCAAATATGTACCCAGCGAGTCTACCATGAAATGAAATTCCGAAATTTCGGACTCAATTTCGTGTTTTCGTTTATATCAAAATTGAACCAATAAATGGAGTTTAACATTTCGTTCGTCATACATCCTATCATAAAAGTCCAAAGGAACAATATTTAAACATCTTTAATATTTCAAACGGTATGTATTATGTAATTTTAACATCAAATTTCTGTTTCGTTTGGCTCCGAAATTTCGAAAAACATTTCATGGTAGGCCCTCAGTATATGTACGTTTGGCGGAGTTAACACCAGATAATGTTGGCTACCATTGGGCAAATAGAAAAAAAGGTAAGCGGTGGTGCGTTCATGAATTGATAAGACTTAAAGTAATATTTTATTATTTATTAGATATCATGGCCGTGTGATCCCGGCATAGAATGGACCACCCCTTCCTTTCCCGTGGGTGATGTAAGAGGTGACTAAGGAAGGGCGAGGGATGGGCAGCAGCGTTCCTGTAAAAACATCTCTAAAGTCTGACTGCGTTTACCAATCTGTCTGCCAAGCGTGGCAACTACAGGCAAAACCCCAAGGTGGATACTTATATTTAGCAGTGGATAGTTAAAGGCTGGTATGATGACGATGATGTAAAACATAAATGTTATTTCTATTATTGTTATGTAGTTAATTTTTTATACAACTTAAAATGGCAAACAAGCTGACAGCCCACCTGATGAAAAGTGGTAACCGTCGCCTATAGACATGAGCAGTGTCATGGACATAACAGAGTATACTGTTTCACCCATGATATTGTTGGGTATTGTTTTACAGCAGTAGTAAATTTGCTAAAATATTTTTTAACAAATACTGCTATTTCATATATGTACATACATGGTAAGGGAAGAAGGCGAAGTTTTTTGAATAAAGGCCGACATGATTTCCAATGATGATAAGTCATTTGAAGGCTGTTATAATACTAATAATAAAATTGAAGTTTAAAATAAATCTAAAAATATATATAATAGTTACTTTAAAATAAAAGTATACAATTTTCTAATCTCGAAAGAGCAGCAATATCAAATGGATCCCTATAAATAGAACCCTACGGCCATTGAACCCTATAACAAATACATCGTTGATTACTCAAACCGCTGTAATTTATCGTTGCTTTGAACACGAGTCGTTTGTTTGAATGCGATGTACCAAAAGAATTGATTATTCAGAAAAATTCGCTATTCCGTTTGACCTCACCCGATATTAGCTACAAAGCAATTTGTTCCAATAATATTTATCTACATTTATTTGAACGGACGCTTTCCCTAATGTTTTAATATTAAATACAGACCCTAATTTATTTCCAGGTATGAAAGGAAGAAATAAATTGGAGATTGTAACAAAATTTTTTGTCAAATATTTAATGATTTTTACACAGAATGGAGAGGATTTTATTTCACAAAAATAAATCATCATCATCGTCACGATATGCTTGAATTGTGACAAAATTTTAAATTTTGATTTTAAAACTAAACTATGAATCGATTTTGATAAAATTTCCATGGGACCAAATTTTAGGTATATCTTTTTAGATAGATTTATTTCAGAAATAAGTATGTTAGCATAGATATACAATTATAATTTACTAGCTGGCACTTTATTTTTATACCAAAATTCATCAAAATTATTCTTTATTACTTTTATCTCACTTTAGTAAGTTTTACACTTACAAATTCTATTGTCAAAATTGTATTGGTCTGCCTGCAAAAATCTACGTATCATTTGTACTGTTTTATAAAGTGCTGTCTGATTTTCTTAATAAATAAAATAAAATAAAACCCTTTTAAAGTATTATATAAATCAGCCTGTGTCCATTTTCGTTATAACCTAATATCTATATTAATATTGTGTAATAATGTCCAAATGTGTATAAATAAGTTATCATCATTCATTATTTCAGCCATTATCCGTCCATTGCTGGACATAAACCTCCCCCATAGACTGCCATAAAGAACGGGCCTGAGCCACCTACATCCACTGACTCCCTGCAATGCATTTGAGGTCGTCACTCCATCTAGTGGAGAGTCATCCTATATAAATCTACATCTACACTAGTATTATAAAGAGAAAAGATTTGTATTTATGTATGTATGTTTGTAATGAATAAACACAAAAACTACTTTGCCGATTTCAAAAATTCTTTCACCATTAGGAAGTTATATTCATCCTAAGTAACATAGGCTATATTTATTGCTAGAAAAGATTAGAAAATCCTTACTAAAACTTTAGTAACGTAACACAATATTTTAAAAAATGCTATAAAATATCTTTCGTCGCGTGCGCTGCGGAAACTATTGGTGATAGAATAAAAGTATGTTCTACAATATTAAAGAAAATATAAATTACTACAAAAAATATCGCAATACTATATGTCCAACTATTATCGTTATATCACAATAACCACTTTTTAAAATGTTGTAAAAATGTCTACCCGTGCGAAGCCTGGACGGACCGCTAGTAAGTAATAAAATAAAATAAATTATACATGGTAGCTTACCTCCTGTGGTTCGGAGTCCACGAACCAGTCGATGGTGGCTGCTGGTAGCGAGTAGTCCGACGTGCAGTTGACCATCGCCTGCTCGCCCACTTGCACTATCGTGGGCAGGCCCGTGATCAGCGGGTCGTACTCCGGTAGAACTGTTTAGAAAAAGGAACAAATTTAAAAGTTTGTTTCAAATCATTCACCAGAGGGAGACTTTGTAGTAAGTATTTACCAAATCTCATAGTAATAGGTTATTATGACGCTATAAAGTAACAAACAAACTAACTTTCACATTTATAATATTAGAAAGGATTAGTAATGAGAAAGTGAGACAATAAAATTAACATTCTGAAACATTCCTTGGTTTAGATCGTAAAAGAAAACTAATTTGAGTAACGTTTAATGTTAACATCTTGAAATCTTAATATTATAATAAAATTGTAACTAGAGGGTGTCTGTACGTGAGAGATATTTAAGAAAAAATTAATATCAGGGTCTTAATAAGTGTAATATTAATCAATAAATCATTTATGGATTTTTGTCGATCTGTCTTTATGTTAATTCTAACATCACGTAAATAATACTACACCGAATTGAATGCAGTTTTCGCAGTTGTATTTCTAAGGGTCTTACTTCAAATTTGGTGTGTTTTTTATACAACTTAGAATGGCAAACAAGCTGACGGCCCACCTGATGGGAAGTGGTAACCGTTGCCTATAAACATGAGCAGTACCATGGACATAACAGAGTATACTGTATATATCCCACCCTTCAAACCGAAACACAGCCATGCAAACACAACTGTTTCACGGTTGAAACATGAATGGGACAGAGGTACGCAAGCAATCGACTTTTGTACAAAGTCTCCCTCTGGTAGATATGCCATACCTTGATACGCTGTTTAGATGTGATTATTTATTCCCAAAATCCACACGTAAGAAGCCTATTAGCATAATGCCCCTGGTTCATAGGCTACGGTACCCGCTTACCGTTAGGTGGATCGTAAGCTTGTTACCTCAGTGGTATAAAAAAAACTTATGCAGAGGAAAGATTTAATTGTTTTTTGTTGTTGTTTGTATGTAATAGGTAAACTCCAAACTACTCGAACAATTTTAAAAATTCTTTTACCTATGGGAAGCTACATTAACAGCGAATAACAAAGGCTAGTTTAATGTAATAACTACCGGTTTATCTTACATGTAATTAGATCGAGAAAGTTCGACTAGTTTCGGAATCAATTCGTGATACTTAGTCGTTAGCGACTGTGACGCGAGCAGGAGCTTGACTGCGCGCCTCGACCCGCTGAGGCGCGTGAGCTGTAGGCGCTCGCAGCATCGCCACAGATAAGAAAGACGGCATTCCTAACTTTTTGGGTATGATCCAATTACACGTAAGTTAAACTGGTAAATTCTCTCTATTCGCTTGAAGCCAGGGTGGATCGCTAGTATTTATCTACATCTATAAAAGAAACTTAAAGTAAGATTGGATCCCAAATTCTGTTAATTATAGCAAAACGTTCACTTCCAAAGGGCGGGAGCGAATTTAAAGTTTTATTTTTTCATTGAACTTTGATCGTTCAATTAGAATCTCGGAATGAATAAATACCTTTCACTTCGTAAAGAACTCGCGAAATTAGAATAAACTTCGAAGTATTTTCTTGTAATTAGCAATTTGGCTGTGAATCGAATTTATAAATAGTATTTTAATTGCTGTCACAGTAGGTTATTGAACTCGTGTCTGTGTGAAAGGAAGCAAAGATGGCGCCGGAGTTTGAATGAGCTATATGTCAGTCAGTTAGTTTTAAATCTGTGCTCGCCCTATCCTTCCTTTTCCTATCAGTGATAGGAATATTAAGATGCTTTTTATAGCGACTTTTTTATCTCCTCAGGATATAGAGTGTGTTTTCCAAACAAGATATATTGTTTATATATGAGTGGGCTACAACCATAAATTAAGTGCTACGGCGTTTCTTCCTTGTAACAATATCTGCAAACACTTTTTGTGTACAACATTAGTTTGGCCACAAATTGATTTATGCTGGTTTAATTAAGATTTTTTTACATACACTTATTACGTAAATGCTAATAGTATTAAAGTACAGTAAAGATACTACTTACCAGCAAGAGTCATGTTCGCCGACCGCCTGTCCACCGCGAACCTTGGTCCTTCGCTGGACACCTCACATGTGTATTTGGCGGTTCCTCTCTCAGGTCTCACTGTGATAACGCAAGCACGCGCGTCGCAAGAACTGTTCGTGATTGCTACGCCAGTGCTGTTAAATGCACGCGTCTCGTACTGTGGACAAGAAGAAAAAATAATTGTAGATATTTTTTTTATAACGGGGCAAACGAGCATGCAGCTCACCTGATGGTAAGTGACTACCGCCGCACATGGTCACCCACAACACCAAAGGCATTGCAGGTGTGCTGCCATTCTTTGATATGAATTAATAAAGGTAATATATATCGAATTATATATATTAAATTATTGATGATCAATGCCTTACTATCCGGTTTGACCCACTGAAATTGCGTAGACGCGTTGCATCTCTTTACATCTTTTAACGAATGTATCACGAGGAGAGTTCTATGGAATTGTTTGTTTTGATATCTGCTGCTGAAATGCTGGTACAACATCTGTGTTTTGTGCGTTTTTCAAGGCGTTTCTTCCACGCACAACCACTCTTTGGAATCAACTTCCAGCAGCAGTATTTCCTAATCGATACGACATCATAGCCTTCAAGAAAAGAGCATATTCCTTTTTTAAAAAAGAAGTAGAATAATTTCCATTACGTATAAATTGTTTTGTGCTAATAAATTTTTTTTAGTACGTTTATTCCGATTTGGAACAGACTAAGGTCGGAGACCATGCTGCCTAGTCTTCAATATGATAAATTGTCTGGAATTTCTAATACATACATACATATCTATCACGCCTCTCTCTCATTAGGGTAGGCAGAAACAATGGAACGCCAAATGTTTCGTTTAGTGCTAATGTTTCAAAAAATTACAGTCGCCCTGTGTTCGCAACAAAGCAAACTTCTTTGTCTAATTACAAAGTTCAAGTTAGCGTAATTATTAGCTAGATCCAAATATTTGTCTTTGAATGAGTCTAGGTTTAATTTTGTAAGTAGTTAACTTAAGACAAAGCAAAACTCTATCAGCTCAGTTTATTTCAAACAATTTTTTGTTAATATAATGCTAAAAGAAATAGTGTTTCATTGAAATATTTCCAAAATAGTACCTATTAAAACAACTTGAAATTAATTTCATTCATAATATAATTAATGAAACATATTAAAAAAAAAAACTAAAATTGCTCGCTAAATTTTTGTTTTTCAGAATAAAATTTTGTTTAAATTTCATTTTTACAAATTACTTTTGCTGGAATGTTCGATATTTATATTTCATTAAAAACACTCAGTAGAAGCTGTGTTTTTTTATAGTATAGCTATTGCTAATTGAAAAGATGTTTTTTTTTTAATTATTAACCACAATTTTTTTTTAGACTTTGATATGAATACCAATTTTGTGAGAGACTGGTGCTTGCGATAGGTTTAGAAGAACCTGTGTTACAAGTCACCAGTGCCCCATCTCCATGGACTACACAAATACAAGGTAACCAATTAGTGTTATAATACACAGATAACAATAATAAGATATAGAGTGCAAGAATAAACTTAACATTAAAACTTATTTCTGCGTGCGTGCGTGCGTTTCAAATTCTCTAAATGTGAATCATGCTATGTACACATATTTATTTATTTACAAGAAACATGGTAAGTGTATAGATGTTACAACAAGTATAAGTCCTCATATTTCGCCATAATTAGGCATGCAAATATTAAAACTTAAAAAGAATAAATGTTCAATAAGTCATTAAAATTCGAAATGTTATATAAAAAAAAATACAACAATGTCAATCAAATGTCAGACACTTGTCAACTATAAAAAAGAAAGAAACGTCACTGTCAAATCATGGACTATTGATGACAGCTGCACTGTAACACTGTATTGTATTTTCAATTGTATTTCTAAATTGTAACCCAGTACAAAACTATAATTAATTTGTTATGTGCACATTAATAAAATAAATAAAAATAAACAAATATACCGTTAACACCTACAATTCAAATAAATACATACAATCGCCACTTAAAATTCTAAAAACATCAAACCGCAATGAAAATGAACTGAAAAACCTTTTACTGAATTAAATGCAATTACAACCGACCCCGGGCTGTGGTGAAAATAAAAAAATATCACGCGAATACAAAATAAAAAATCCTTAGTAATATTATAAATGTGAATTTGAAAGTGAGTTCGTTTGTTTGTGAACTGTATTGTGTTTGGAATTTGGTAAAGGTGAAGAAGTACATAGAGGCAATTTTTTATCCAGGTCAGTGAAATATCCCGGTTACGAGGGAACGAGGGAAAAGTCGTGAGTAAAAGTGAAGAAAAGTCTTGATGGGTGGGATATGGCATGAATTTACAGGGTACAGAGGAATAACATCCGAGTCCTCAAGAATGGCAACGCATGGGGGGTATCATGGGCGAAACGGTATACTCTGTTATGTCCATGGTACTGCTCATGTCTATAGGCGACAGTTACCACTTCTTTTCCATCAGGTGGACCGTCAGCTTGTTTGCTATTCTAAGTTGTATAAAAAAAAAGTTACTTTAACTCCACCATTTACACTTTCTAGGTGTGTTAAAATTTAATAAAGAAAAGTCACTATTAATATATTTTATTTTGTAGTATAATATACGGAGACTCAATGCACCGAAATTGGGGGGAAAGGGATTGTTAGTAATGAGGTCTAATAGCCCCATTCCTAGCAATGTACCCTTACGGGTCGACCTCCACGCGGTTCCCCTTAGAAACCATCATGGTTAATTCTTGTCAAATTCATCATGGTGGACCAACTGAACTGCATTCATTCTCATCTATCATCTACCACTGGTGCCTTGTCGCTGTATGCCGATGGCGCCGGCGGTGTTACCATTCCATTTTCACTTATTAAAAAAAAACGCGCCGCGATTGCAGATTAATAGTACCTACATATGTACCTATTTGTACTTAATGGTCGAGATGGGCAGCAGCGTCCCACTTAATAAATCACCAAAGCCTACTACATTTATATTTAACTATAATATGTACTATACGCTGAAGCAATGGGCTAAGCATATAGCCTGAAGAATCAACAACCAATGGGTAAGAAAGGTTTTTTTTATACAACTTAGAATAGCAAACAAGCTGACGGCCCACCTGATGGAAAGTGGTAACCGTCGCCTATAGACATGGGCAGTACCATGGACGTAACAGAGTATACTGTTTCGCCCATAATACCGCCCATGCGTTGCCATTCCTGAGGACTCAGGTGTTATTCCTCTGTACCCAGTAAATTCACTGTTCTTGAGTGACAACCCCGTACAGGTAAATATAGTTTGGGATAATCTCCCACTGGATAGAGAGACGACCCCAAATGCGTTGTAGGTAGTTAATAGATGCAGGTGATTCGGGACCGTTCTTTATGGCGGTTTATGGGGGAGGTTTATGTTCAACAGTGGACGGATAACGACTGATTTGATACGATTATAAGTGGTACACAAGTAGGTTATATCCTAACTTACACCATAGGATATTCTATGTACTTACTATGTATTCTCACGTGGACAAAGCCACGGGTAAAAACTAGTAATTATTTATTTATTTATAGCAAGGCAACAGATTATAAAGTAATACATTTATAAAATAAATATTACATAAAACAGCATTAAATTTGCACTCCAACAACTGCTCTGCATAACATTCGATATTATATACGTTAAAAGAATGACGGCTATAAATTTAAAGTAACAAATTGGCAGCCTTAATGTAACATTGCAAGGATTGTTGGAAGATATCAAGCTCCTTGCATACGTTGTTATATTTTCTGCACATGCGGATAATTGGATTGTGATACGATACATTATTATTACAAATCGGTATATAAAATAATTTTTGTATTCTCTTATTACCTGTACGAAATGAAACAAGGCCCAACAATGTGCTACTGCCCCATTTTATTTCGTAACATAATATGGCACGGATGGACTACGTATACTATATTCAAGGAGCATGCTAAATTATTAAGCGAATTAACTCAGCCATTTCGAAAGCAGCAAGATTTACAATTTCGGTTACACTCGATGTAAATCAGGCAACGCTAAAATATGGAAATACAGTGGAGAGTTTCCTATGCTGAATGTTTCAGTGATAAATTTGCAGTAGTTATATAAACCGGTGTTAATGTTGCAGTCAAAACTCTTAACCAGTTAAAAGTACTATTGACTAGCAAAATCAGTCAAAAGTACTTTTCACCGTATGCTTTAGTCAATAATATTTTTCACTGAAATAACAGTTAGAAGTACTTTTGCCCAATGGAGCTGGTTAAAAGTATTTTTTAATAAGTGATTCCGTTAAAAGTGGTTTTGACTGGTTGTATCAGTGAAAACTCTTAAAAAGTCCTAACCTAACCTAATCTAATTTACTTAAATTCGGTTTTTTTTTTTTATGGGTGAAAATGATAAGGTAACCCCGCCTGCGCTAACGGGATACGCTGGCGGAGCACCAGTGAAGGGTGATCGATGAGAATGAAAACAGGCCAGTTAACCCATCATGATGAATTCATCAGAAATTAACCATGATAGTTTCCAGGGGGAACCGCGAGGAGGTCGACCTGGTTAGGTATATTGATAGCAATGGGATTCTCAGTCTCCATTACTAACAATCCCTTTCCCCCCACTTAAATTAAGTTAGGTTAGTATGTTTTATTTGTATCGATTGTAATGCCAAATTTTTCGTAATAAACGATTTCACATATAATAAATATCTTTTTTTTCGTCTAACGAGTTAACAGTGCTTTTTACTGACGCTTTATTGCAGTTAAAACTCGTTTTGATGAAGAGCGTCAGTCAAAAGTACTTTTAACCGCAAATTGGCCATCAAGAGAACTAATAACCAATAAATATCAGTCAAAACCACTTTTGACCAACCTGTTCAGTCAAAAGTACTTTTTTTTTTACAACACAGGGGGCAAACGAGCATACGGCTCACCTGATGGTAAGTGACTATAGCCGCCCATGATCACTCACAACACCAGCGGCATTGCAGGTGTGCTGCCGGCCTTTTAAAAAGGAATATACTCTTTTCTTGAAGGTTATGTTGTCGTATCGGTTCGGAAATACTGCTGCTGGAAGTTGATTCCAAAGAATAGTTGTGCGTGGAAGAAAGTGCCTTGAAAAACTTTTGAC